ATATATATATATCTATATATATATATACAGATATATATATAGATATATATATATAGATATCATATTTTTCACCCTGTATGTCACTTTTTTTTTATTTTGCATAGTTTGCATGCCCTGTGACTTATACGCTGAAGCGACATATTTATGGATTTTTTTCTTATACTTATAAACCAGTTTTTGGCTGAGATGTGACCGTTTTCATTCATTCTGACTGAAAATATTGAACACTACCATTTTCAGCCGCTAAATGGCACTCGAGCAGTATGGCATGCCATTGTGTCATGTAATATGTAAAAAGTGTCTATTAATGACACAATCGGCTTGCCATAGAAGCCACTGTCATCTGCTTGGGGTAACCGTCAAATCAGCTTAATTTTGCTGCGTTGCCCCGACAAAATGCAGCTTATTTGACCACTGAAGTGCATTTATTAAGTAAAAGTTCAACTGAGACACACCTTTACTATAATGTCGAGCAAACAAATAATTGTTTTAGGTGGTTATCCTGTTAAATTTCAAACAAATACACAACGAGTCGCCTTCTGCTCGTTCATGATTCTGTGTCGGCTTTTGAAAATGCAACTGATTTGGCCGTCAAAGTGAAAAAAGTTAGACTGAGACACCTTTACTATAATTTCGAGCAAACAAATAATTGTTTTTAAGTATTAATCTGGTTAAATTCTTGTTAAAGTCCTCCCGTGCACGCCCCCGTGGCCGCCATTTGGCAGCCAATCGATTTTTGGCACAACACCGGCACACATTTCCGGGTTGACAGCGGTGACACATAATAGATGCGACGTATGCGGCGAAGCGACTTATTTATGTTTTTTCCACTTAGACATATGTGGACTGATGCAACTTATAGGGCAGTGTGACTGTATGGCGAAAAATATGGTATATATAAATACCAAAATAAACTACTACTTACGACTTGTACTACTATTCCTACTTTGCTGTTTTTCACTTATCGCGTGGCTTCAGGGTACGGATCCACCGCGATAAACGAGGGACCACTGTACTTTGATCCTGCTGTCACAGATTTTGTTTTAAAAATCAACAACAATTGCAGATCTTCACTGTTGTCACTAATTAGTTAAAAACTTATTGAACCACACAAATATGAAGCCTAGTGTGAGTCAAAAACCTTTACTTTAATCAGGTTTTGAACTACGTTTGTTTTAAGAAACAACACAGTTTTCCCATTTCTGACACATTCTTGGGACGAAGATGGTGTAGAGGTAGGACAGCCAACCTGGGACCAGAAAGTTGCAGGTTCAACTCCCCGCCATGCCCACATGTCGGGGTGTCCTTGAGTAAGACACCCAATCCCTAATTGCTCTCCAGACGCTTACCTAGCTGCCCACTGCTCCACCTGGTTGTATCTCACATGTGATGGGTTAAATGCAGAGAACTAATTTCATCATTGTATAGAAACATACGATGACAACACATAGCACTATATAAAAAAATATAAGTGTTGGTTTACAATTATTTATACTCACTTTAGGCGAGTCTGTATTTGGAAATTAAAGGTTTACGTCGAAACCAAAGCTCAGAACTGAGTGCTACAAACACAGAAGACAGATCCGTTTATACTTCGTTTTCTCACATTTTAAGCCCGTGTCTCCTCTTTTAAAGTGATTTAACAAAGCGTTGAAACCTAAAATACATTAATATTTTAAAAGCATTTAATCTACTGTTAAAGAGTTTCATGTTTTAAAAAAGGCAGATAAAAAGCAGTTTTTTGAGGGGTTATTTAAGAGTCTTAGAGGTTGGGTAAAGAGCAATCTTTACAGTTTTAACTCACTTTATTAAATAAATTGAACTAAAGTAAAACAAAACCCCACAGCCGGTTGTTTTTGTTCCCAGTGCCACGGTCTGTGGGACGAGGATGACCCCAAAGAGAAGAAGGAGGCCGTTCCTCAGAGTGAATCTGACGATGAGGGAAAAGACGAGGAGGAGAGCGAGAGGGAGTCCGAACCTGCCTCGTCGCTGATCAGTGAGGGGAGAGGCTCCATCCGCTCGCTGAGGTCCATAAACTTCGGGAGTTCTATAGATTCAGGACAGGTTCAGGTCCAGCACCCTCAGCCGCAGACCTACCAGCGACGCAAGAGCTCCAGCGGGGGCTCGCACATTTCCCATCGCTCCCGCCTCTCGTCTGCAAGATCCAAAAGAGGTGAAACGACTTTATTTTTATGATTAAAACGATCCGAGCGGGCGTTCAAATCAACCTCACTCTTTAGACCACAGCCGTGTTTGTGTTTCCCAGTGACTCTGTGTCGTCTCGGATCATTTACAGCCCAAAATGTAAACCGTTTCCACAGGAAGTACCGCTTCCCGCAACAGCAGCCGCAAGGACGGCAGCCTGGCCAGCGCCTGTCAGAAGACCCACAAAGAGATGATCGTAGAGAAGCTGAGGGAGCTGCTCTTCAAGGCTAAAGCGTTCATCATAAAGCGGTAATCCCTCAAATTTCACAAGAGCCGAGTCAGACCCTCGCTAAAAACGAAACGACTGTTTGAGACGCGTGCTCAGTGAATATTCTGGCTGCGTGATGTAAGAGGCACATCATATCCAGCTAAAACCTTTTATGGATCTAAGTTTGGACCTTTAATTACGGCGTTCCCGTCAGGCCGTTCAGTGTCATTTTTGTAAGTGCTGCAGACGATCAAAGCTTGTTATTCTGCTAAATGTAATCACGGTGGAACGAGTGGTTTCTGAGATGTTAGGCCTAGGACAGTAAGTCGACCCTGGTTTTCTGTGGTTTTCTGACTAATGGCATTTAGTTTGATTTTACTGTCTTAAACACTGTTCACGCTGCAGACCTGGGCCGTCCACCTGGAAGAGCTGGGAGGAAAAGGAAGATAAAAACCAGCACAGGCCGTAGGATAATTTGTTTTTTTGTTGCAGGTTTTTGGAGCTCTACCTCCCCATGAGGCAGTTCTTCTACAACTTGATTCATCCGGAGTACAGCGCCGTCACGGACGTCTACGTGCTCATGTTCCTCGCAGACACCGTCGACTTCATCATCATTGTGTTTGGATTCTGGGCGTTTGGCGTAGGTTTTTTTTTATTTTATTTTATCATAAACCCAAAAATTATTCTGTTTCCGAAGCGAACCTTTAAGCGATCCTTCTACCTTTTTTTTTTAGAAACATTCGACGGCAGATATTACATCATCGCTCTCTGAGGATCAGGTGCCAGGACCCTTCCTGGTCATGGTCCTGATTCAGTTCGGCACCATGGTAGTGGACCGGGCCCTCTACCTCAGAAAGACGGTCATGGGCAAGGTCATCTTCCAGGTCTTCCTGGTCTTCGGGATCCACTTCTGGATGTTCTTTATTTTGCCAAGCGTCACAGAAAAGTGAGAACTTTGTCTTCTCTCCAACATGTTCTTTACCGATCTGGAATAAAAAGAACTTAAGGTTGAACATAGATGTTTAGTTTGAGCACATCTCGTTATAAATGTTGATTAAACAGCTGAGACGATGTGGACAAAACTGCTGCACGTATCGAAATTTGAGATTTCTTTAACTCTGTCCTTCAGTATGATCCAAAAAATGCTCATGTCTGTATTTTATAGTTGAAAATGGACTTCATTGTCAAATCACTCAGCAGTAGGTGCAGATTATTAACGTCTAAGAAGGAAACAGCTGAGGGTTATTACTGGTATTTAGTGAGTGCCCTGCACCCAGTGCTGCAAGAGTGGTCACAGCTTTCCAGTTCTTTGCAGAACCAGATGTTTTTTTAGAGTAACCTCTAAGAAAGCTCAGAAAGCATACTTAATGTTTTAGGTAGTCATTTCCTTTCAGTTAGCCTTTTGCTCATTTTAGCTTTTAGCTATTTGGCCGATTTAGATGGCGTTTTATTTAGCTACTTTTAGGCAGCATTTAAACAGCATTTTGGTGCTATCAGCTTTTAATTAACCGTTACTTTAATGATTTTATCATTTAACTAGAATTTTGTAGTCTTTTTTTAATTTTTCTTAGCGTTTTACTACTTTAAGCTCTTTTTTTTGTTCTTCTTAATTGGCTTTTTGTTTTGCTACATTAGGTAGTGTTTAGCTAGCCTTTAGCTAACCTCTTGCTGTTTTCAGCTTTTAAAAACTTTTTTTTACTTTTAGCTTTTATTTAACCTTTTACTTATTAGTTTTTAGCTATCCTTTTGCTACTTTATCTTTTAGGAAGTCTTTTGTTACTTTTAGCATATACTTACCCTTTTACTACTTTAAGCTTTTAGATGTTTGGTTCTCTTAGTTAACTGTTTTGTTTTGCTACTTTTAGGTAGCATTTAGCTAGCCTTTTGCTGCTTTCAGCTTTTAAAAACATTTACCAGTAGTTACTTTTAGCTTTTATCTAGCCTTTTACTGGTTTTATTTTTTATTTATCATTTTGCTGCTTTAGCTTTTAGCATATACTTAGCATTTTACTACTTTAAGCTTTCAGCTGTTTTGTTCTATTAGTTAACCGTTTTGTTTTGCTAGTTTTAAATAGCATTACGATAGTATTTATTTGCTTTCAGCTTTCAGTTACCCTTTGGTTGTTTTGGCTTTTAGCTAGGCTTTATCTATTTTGTTTTTTAATTACACTTTTCTACTTTATCTTTTAGGTAGTGTTTTGCATTTTTTAAATAGCATTTTGCTACTTTTAGCTTTCAGCAATTAGTTATTTTTTGTAAGCATTTTGTTTAGCTAATTTTAGGAAGCATTTAGCCAGCCTTTTGCTGCTTTCTTTTAAAAGAACATTTAGTTACTTTTTGCTTTTATCTAGCCTTTCATTTGGTTTTAGTTTTTAGATATCCTTTTGCTGTTTTATCTTTGAGGTAGACTTTTGTTACTTTTAGCATATACGTTTACTACGTTAAGCTAGCTGTTTGTTTTTTAGTTAGCAGTTTTGTTTTGCTACTTTTAGGTAGCATTAAGATAGCATTTATCTGCTTTCAGCCTTTGATTACACTTTGGTTAATTTAGGCTTTTAGCTAGCCTTTATATATTTTAGCTTTTAGCTACCCTTTTGCTACTTTATTTTTTAGATAGTGTTTTGCTTTTTTTAATAGCATTTTTCTACTATTAGCTTTTTTTTTGCTGTTTTTTTTTTTTTTTTTTTTGTTTTGGTTGTTGCTACTTTTAGGTAGCATTTAGCTAGCCTTTTGCTACATCTCTGAGCTGAGAGAACAATGGTCAATGTTGTTTCCTGTAATCTTCAGTCTCTCAGGTTTTGCTGCATCAAAAAGAGTTTTAGTATTTTTTAGTCATCTTCACTCGTTTCTCGTAGTTTTTTTTAACAGATTTTACCGACAGTAAGATTTCTAAGTTGATCTATTTCTTCCAGTTTAAAGCACACGCAGAACGATGCCGATGGACCTAGTTTCCTCTCCAAAACGTCTTTAGATCAGTAAAAAGTTGGTTTTAACCTTGAAAATAATCCCACCGCAGTAAAAAACCAGCATGTGTTTGTCTCTGCTCGTCCTCCTGTAGGCGATTCAGCGAGAACAAGGTCGCTCAGATGTGGTATTTTGTCAAGTGCATCTACTTCGGGCTGTCGGCCTATCAGATCCGCTGCGGCTATCCCACCCGTGTTCTGGGGAACTTCCTCACCAAGAGCTACAATTACCTCAACCTGTTTCTGTTTCAAGGGTGAGTCGGGCTGGAAATGTTCATTTTCCACGGCCTGAGACGCCGGCTCTCTGAATCACTCGGGAGCAAATATAATCCAAAACATGACTTTAAAAAGTTGTTGATTTATTTGATTACTGTAGGTGTCAGCTGATTATTTTTCATAAGCTTGACATCAGTTATGACCAAACAAATGCATAATATAAAACAAACAAAAGTCCATTAATTTATATGTATTATAATCTGAAAACACTGCACTGATCTCTATCTTCTTTAGACTTTAAACGTGTTAAAAACTAATAAAATATTGTATAATGTCTCTTTTAAACTCTGTAATGTTCAGGATTTATTTGAATCATGAGACTAACTTTATTCCAGATGAACAACTTTTTGTCTTGTAAAGTTAAAGAGCGGCGACTTAAACCTAAACTTTCTTTTATTGTATTTTTTTTATGAAGGTATGTCTTCATGGAGATATCTTTTTGCATTTATCATCTGGATGATTTAAACTGTAAAGACAATAAAGTGCAGTAAGGTGCTGTGATTATATATATATATATATATAT